TGTCACCGATGAGTGGGGAAATGCTGTGTATTGTGGAAGCGCCGGTGGACTTCCCGCAATTGTATGTCTTGCTCCCTCTTCTGTTGCGCAGTATATCTAACGTCCTTGAAGCTTCAATGCAGTAACAATGCTGTTTTTGAGAACTGTCTGAATGGGGATCAGTGCAAGCTTGGCACCTCCAACCAGGGAACACCGTACCTGTACTGCGGCTAAATGCGGATCTTGAGAGTATCGCGGCGGTGGAAAGAGCTGCAGATGTGCTGGAGGTTTTCGTTCGGCGATTCATTTTGTGAAACGATCTAGGTCACAATTATGTATAATTAATTCAAGCGGTTCACCTAATCTCACAAAAGTAGCCATACAATTTTAGTGATAGTCTGAATAGTTACTAACCCTGCGACGAGATTTCTAGTCTGGAAATTCTGACCAGAATAGCTATATTGCCTCTAGGACCTACGGATCCCTAGTAAAACTTCTGTTGTCCGACAAATGAGAAGACGATCATGATTCTATGAAAATTGATGTTGAAAAATCTACCTCGTAGTCGTGGCAGGCCTCAGGCCGAGGTACCCCGTGTACAGACGATACTATATCAAGACATTCAATCGATGACCCAAATGCTGACAGGTGGGATTGCACTATTTCACCGGACGATTTCAGCCAATAACTACAATCGTATGCACACTGAAGACCACATTCATACCAACCAGTATAGCCATCTTATTATAGTTGCTTCAGAAAGAATTCTAGTGAGCTCTCTTAATCTAGCTTCTCTACGTTTAACTTGACAGGTGGTCTTCCCATTGGAGCTGTCAATATCACGGCTCGACAGAGTATTAATACCAGGATTTCATTAACTAAGACAACTATAAAGAGAAAAGCTCAACATATAGAAATGAAGATGGGAATAACCTCAAGGGCACGGACCGAGGCGATAAGCGAGCCTCTAGCGCCTCAATCCATAACATGACAGTCAACCCAGAGATCAATTTTTTTTTTTAGCAAAAACGGATGTGCTAGACTTCTAGTTCAGATCGTCAATTACGCAGTCACAATAGTTAGTCTCCGCGGTACAACCCACGGTGAATACGAAGAACAAAGCACGAACTACTCCCTCGTCCCCCTGAACGCGCCGGATCTGCCGCACATCACTTGTCTATTTAAAGGGGGGGGGGGGGAATCGATCCGTACGAAGTACGACCACCTCCACATCCATGGTCAAAGCTTGGGAAAAGCTTGTTTAGGGGCCGGCATGTAATACTGTCTAGTAGGACTACAGTGCGAATCTCGCTAACCAGGTAGGTAGGTTTTACTTCGTAGTAAGCGCTATAATCTGAAAAGGCCAGGCCCCCAATCCCCGTGGTTTACGGAGTGGAAATCTCAAAAATACTGCTTCATACGGGTAATCAAGTATAACCCAATTCTATCGACCAAGAACGGATGCGCGGTTCGAGAAGCCGATGCGCTGTGATGGGTAAGCTTAACTATGGTTATTGGGATGAGGGAAAGTTGCACGATGGATGGATGAAAAAATGAAAAAAAATGAATAAAGTTATGTCACGGCGAAGTTTTGTTTCAAAGGAAAATCATGATTCAGTGACACTATCTAAGGTACTTTTCTATCTACCAATCCATCCAAAATCCATTCCATTCCACTCCACGCCATCAAATAATCTATCTCCTTCTGTATCGATATATCTCCCTCATTCTTATCGCATGTCGAGTTCCAGTAAATAGCTGTAGGGCTTATCATGCATCTGAAGATGCACGTAGCCAAGTAAAGCTAGGATGGCGAATTCGAGGTGTGGGTTTCAAGTTACGGTCTCTTCGAAGGACTGCGTTCTCGCGTTTCGCAAAATGCGGATGGGATGGGCGAGTAGAAGAAGAGGGTGTAACGAGAGGGTCGGGTTGGTGAGAGGATGAGTTGGTGTTGTGTTGGAGGAGGGAGGGGTTGGTGATGGCGAATGATCTTCCGCTCGATGGCGGGATAACAAGAACTGTATTATTCTTTAAAGGGAATTCGTAAATTTGTGATTCGTAAAGAGAATGCGTATATCGTGTAACAAACAAAGCTCTTTGTGATCAGGCTTAACGCCAGATCCGGTTGAAGAAACCGGCCACCCACGCCCGCGTTGCTGGAACAAACATTCTTTTCTTGACTGTTTGCATTACAAGACCCTCGTCGTTCTTGTCGCTATCGTCGTCATCCGCAATATCCTCACTGCCATCGCTATTGTCGCCATTGTCGCTGCCGATGTCTTGCACCTTCTGGGGTGGCACAGGTTGAAGGAGATCTTGCATCGAAAAGTTTTGATGGACAGGGGATATAGCCAACTTCGGCTTGGCCTTGTGTAGGCGATTCTTGCCACCTCTCTTTGTCGGCTTGGGTTCGGGGAACCGTCCAGGAAGTGATGCGACTCGAATCAAAGCGCTGGTGTTGAGCTCATACTTCTTGCGGTGCTTTTTGTGCCACTCCGACAAGGGAGTCATCGCAGTGTCTTTCATCTCAGATCGAGACGAGGTAATCATTGGCTTCATCTTAGAACGTTGGTCGACCTCGCAATACTGAAGTGAGATGTCGGGTCGGAGAGGGGGCTTGGGTCTCTGAACCCAGATCTTGCCATGCTGTTTATACCATTGAGTGATCGGTGGGATATAGAAACTCATATCAAATGAGCGATACAAAGCTGATGGTGTGGATTGAGAGGCTACTGGCTGATTAAAGGTGTCTGTCTGAGTGGGGCCTCATATGTTGCGAGTAATAGCCCTGCTTTATTGAGCCTACTAGTAACATCGTCAATTTTGTCACACGATGTCTTGACAACCAATTTCAGAGCATCGATGGTCTTATGGCATTCCTCGATCTCCCTCAGCGCAGCCGCCTTGAATGGCACAGTGCTGGCGGTCTCTGGCACAGCCAGTGCTGGTGTTTGGATAAGGGCTGGTGCTGGAATAGGAGTCTTGGAAATCAGTGACTTAGCATTGAAAGAATCACCCTTGCTCACACCAGCTTGCGATGAAGAAGATGATAAAGCAGCAGCTACCGTATTGCTGGTCTGGGGAGATGCTGTTGCCCATCGACTAGCTCCCATACCACCCAAAAACTTCGGCTTCGGCTTCAGCGTTGAACGAGGAGAAGGAGAAGGAGAAGGAGATTTGGTTTTCTTCCGCCTCTTATGTGCATTAGCATCAAAATCATTTCTGTATCTACTGGCCGCAAGTTTGGTAGCTTGATGCCTCTTGAGTGAACGAGCTGGACGTGCCATTGCAGGTGATGTAGGTGCATTCAGGGCATCGGGGTTCTGAGGGCCGTGTTGTGGTGGATTAGGCGATGTAGAAACTTTTGGGGTAGAGAAGCCTGGCTTGGTGTTTGAAGGAGGCGATCCAGATCTGGACATGGGCTTTGCGAGCAAATAAGGAGAACGAGAACGAGAGGATCCAGGGGTGAACTTGGACTCAAGCTTTGGTAGTCAAGAAGACACGCGAGGTGACTTCTTTGGCATATATGGGCCCTGTAGGGACTGTGAGTTGAGTTGAACAGGTGAGATTAGGTTTGAATTTACCTGTGTGCTCGAGGTGGTATTGTTACTGCCACCGGATGGTTCCGCCATGGCTGAAGACTGGCCGGCCAGCTCCAGGGTTATCGCTACGATCCGCAAGAGCGCCAAAAAAGGTGTGGTGTATGGAGTATGGAATTTAAGAAAAAAGAGCGACGAACAGTAAGGTGGTAATTCGCTTGAAAGTGGTAAAGGTGCACGAGAACGAGTATGCAGTCCGGAGAGTACAAGAGCGCAAAGCAAGATGTTCGTCGTCGTTCAAGAATGTTGAAAGCGCATTCCTTGTGGTCAAGGGTTTCTATACTCGTTATCTGGAAGGAAGTTCGCACAGAGCCAATTGAGAGTTGAAAGTGCGAGGAGACATCGATGACCTGCCGCGATGAGCGAATGCTGTCAAAGGAAGGGTGAATGAGTGCGCTTGGGCAGATTGGGTCAGTCTGCACACGAGTGAGTATATGAATGCTGGTGAGGGGCTCGGAGGATGACAAACGTGGGTATCAATCAATTGGGGAAGAAATATGAGTAAGTCAATATGGATTGGAGGCGGAGAGGTTTGGGAGTCGGTGGGAATTCTAAATCGCATTGCGACGCGAACCTTTTTGAGAAAATCATCTACTCGTACTTACTATACAACACCTCAGAAGAAACCCATCATTCTTCCCTATGCAGTAGCACAATTATAAAAGAAAACAAGTGAACGAATACAATCAATTCTCTACCCCCCCATATACCCATGATAAAACATCTCAAGCCTAATTTCAAAGTGCAAGGCAAGGCAAACAAAAGCCCCCGAATACAGATAGATATAGCAGCATGCATACATTCATTTATAAAAGTAATCACAAGAATACAATATACCCTATAACCCCCAACTTATCAACAGAACACCTGAAGCCCAATTCCAAAGTACAAGGCAAACAAACACAACTTCTAAATACACAACTTCGAAGAGCTGCTTCCTGCCTCAACATCTTACTACTTCAGAGCATTTAATTAATGACATTGTTTCGTTCACACACATGTTAGTAAGCAGATATCTATCTATCGCGCGGTGCACTTACTAAATCCAACTAATCAACGCATAGGGAACGGAAGAGAAGAGCTGAAAAGGGTATAATCACGTGAGGAAACGATATGCTAGAACACTTCTAGAAGAACAGGAGCTCTGAGGAGAAAATAAGGTAGCGAAGCGAAGCGAGAAGGAAGTGAACTGGTTATTAGAGCTGATGGATGTACTATGAATTTATACCTAGCATAGCTTATATTTATCTTTGTAGAAGCTTTTGTAAATTCATGCCATCCACGTAAGATTCATCCATGTTCACTATCCATGTGCAATTCATCCATATTATATCCATCCACGAAAAATCCCTTCATTCATCTCAAACTCCCCAACCCTTGATTGATGCCACAACGCCGTATGTACACAGCCAAAGATTTAGTTCAAGTCCTGAGCGTATACTTCAAATACGCGCCTTCTGCCCTCGTCGCTGCATGGCCATTGAAATCTACTGGTGGCGTTTGAAAGACCGGAGTACCCGCTTTGTCAGTAAGTTCGAAGTCGAACATAGCGAGGAAGAAGGCCGTGATTACGTTTTGCTCGAGTTTCGCAAATCTCATGCCCACTAGCCATCCAATCCAGTCAGATATGATGTAGATCAAGATGCAGAAGAGAAGAATAATTCAAGTGACTTACAACAAGGATGTCTCGCCACTCCCCAACCAACCCACGCATACGGAGCTTTCTTATCCTCCTCCCTGCCCTTCTCATACCTAGACGGATCCCACTTCTCCGGCTCCGAATAGATCTCCGGATTCAGATGATTGTCACCCAAATGATAAGCTACAAATGCACCGGGCGGGATCACTTCTCCATTCCCCACACTCAGCTCTCTGCCACTGATATTCTTCCTGAACGCACTGCCGAGCAATTGGAGCCGAATGGTTTCTTTGAGACAGAGATCGATGGTTGGGAAGCTGGATTCCCATGCCTCGAGGGTAAGGGTGCCGAGTTGGTCGATTAAAGGCGCGGATGGATCAGGGTGGGTGGAATATTTGGCGGCGGCTGCTGTGACTTCGGCACGTACGCGGGCCATCCATTCGGGGGATTGCGCGAGGTAGCACAGCACCCAGGCTAGATTGGTGCCACTGTTTAGTAGACCTGCGAAGAGGGCGCTCACAATGAACTATCTTCACGTTAATGCCAGCTTCTACGAAATAGTTTTACTGGGGTAGTGGACGGAGCAACACACTTCAATGATACTTTTGACATCATCTCCTTCATCAATCAAGAACTGCAACGGATCATCACCCCTGATCCCAGTCTTCTTCCTGTTCTCCACAATTTTATTAATAACCATATACAACTTACCCCCTGAAATGGTTCTTTTTATGACAGATGGGCTTGGGAACCACGGGAATAGCATCGTTGCAGCGGTCGCGCTCGCTTCTATGGTTTCGTAGAGCTGAAGCGTTCTCTCGAGGAGCACGGGGTCATTGGCGATGTCGCTGCAGCCAACAGTGCGCATGGTAAGTTGGTAGACGAGGCGGTAGAAGGATTCAAAGGGGTTTGTGATGCCTGTGGGGGACTGGGCGAGGGTGTCAAGGAAGGTACGGACATCTCGCATTAGGTAAGGAAGGCCTGGGAAGTATTAGCACATGGTAAGTCAAGGTCTTTGGGGTGTGAATGTACCTCTCTCGATGACCTCCTTTTTCATCAATTTGGTTATACGGCGTTGGAAGTAGCCTCCAGAACCACCGAAATTGTCGTCGTTTGCCGGCCTGTCTTTCTTGAGACTAGCTGGGCTTGCTCCAAATAGGATTGCGTATCTGAATTTACGCACGTTAGTGTCTCTTTCCTTGAATTCTTTTTCATCATCTTGAACACCACGTCATCCTCCTCAATCTCCAACTTTGTTTGGGAAAACGTCACGAGACGTTGTACTACAATGGCCCCCAAATAATCATTCACCCGAAACGAAAGAATGAAACAACACCACACTTACCCCTCATGCATACTCAACTCCCTACTCTCAAAAAAGACCTTGCGGCCCTCCGCACCAGTCAGTCCAACGATAGGATGCTTGCCCAAGAAAAACCGAAAGTTGCCAGTCTTGGCCGCATCCCTGGAAAGCCTGAAATAATCCCATCTCCGCGTGAAGAACTGCAGGGCACCGACGATAGGGAAGTTCGAGATAGTGGACTGGGAAGGAGCCTTTTGGGGGAAGGTGAAGGAGGGTGCGAGGAAGGTGTAGAGGAAACAGAGGGCGGGGAGCAGGAGGAGGGAGGCGATGGTGGGAAGCGAGAGGCCTAGGATGAGGCTGTCATGGGATGGCATTTTGGGATTGGGTTGAGGTTTTGATTCAAGACATGGAGGATGAATTGAGGAGGACAGGTAGAAGAGGAGAGAGATGACGAGAGAGAGAAGACGAGAGGATTGAATGTGATAAATGAAGTAAAGTCAGACGTACCGATACGGTAACGTGACTTGAACTGGACTCGGATAGTAGCGTTCCGTAGCACGTAGTACCTTACGTATGGCACCTGGTCCCGGTGAACCTAGCCAATCAGGAGGTGGTGTTTCAAATCCAAAAATATAACCTTATATGGTATCGATAGATAAGGATTTACATCCGATTTATATCCATTCTGCTAGAATATACCCGCCCATAGGTAAAATTTTATCCTCCTTTTCTCCTTATAAACAGGCCCAAATCCCACCCAAAACAACTTACAAACGCCCTTCTGGGTAGTCTAGACCAATCAGCCCCCTTTCCCCCTTTCCGCCAAAGCAGTCCATAAAGCACCTTCTATGTTTGAACCCTAAATTTGAGCCTGCTTTAGTCAATATGTTATATTCTGATTTAATGAATCAATATGATACTGTTCTCTATGACTAGTCTCTGTTAAATTACCATCTCAAACTTTGCTAGTTACTAAGTATATTTGCGCTTGGTACCCTTGATAACCTTGATGGACATGATACCCGTGCAGGGTAATCCCCGCCATCCCCTACTTTAATAAGCATTCTACGGGTTTGATCAGCATGAGGCTGGGCTACGGGAAATAGCCCAGCCCAGCCCAGAGGATAGAATGCGGGGGTGACCCACCAGCAATACTGCACAAGGGTTATGTACCGATTGGATGGGAATAGAGATACCGTAGAACAACCAGTAAACCACAACCTCTTTACTGTACATTCTGTGCTACGATCCTAGATTATTACCTATGGTAGGACATTATTCATCGACATAGAAATAGAAGATACGGATACGGGTGTAAGTTTATCACTTCATGAGTCCGTTGGGGAAGAGTACGTCTTTTACTCCACACAGACACGTAACACGATTAAGACCAAAACTGTAAATCAAGGAAAGTTTTATTTATTTCTACAGACCGCCTTTTTCATGTATGTGCATGTATGTTTAGTACCCCTGTCATCAATTTATGGAAGAGCACCCACTTGCCCTTCAATATCGCCACCCTCCGTGTCATCACCCTTGGCAATCCGCTCAGCTTTAACATCCAACTCCGCGCCTGTCTTCGGTGCAGAAGCAATAGTATCGTAAGGACCGGGTTTGATGTTCGCCTCTACAGCATCCGTGTTAACAGGCGCAGCGCCCTCTATTGACCCCACGATTCCCCCTACGCCCTTAATCACGCCATCCATCGCATCATCAGCCTCTACTTCGACTTCCGGCGGCGGCGCAGGGTCAGCTTTCTTGCCCGGGTTATGGTTGTTGACTAACGGTGTAGTGTCGTTGAAGATCCGTAATAGCATTGCAGTACGATCTTCCTTCGCTAGCATGAGGTTGAGAGAATGCAGACTGCGCCAGAGCGGGATGACCTGGCGCTCAGTAAAGCCATCAGCCTCCTCACTCGGCTCGATTCTCAGAACGCAGCAACCCATGCCGATATTGTTAACGCGCTCGCCGATCTCACCCAAGTCCTTCCATGCTCCGTCTGAGAGCTTAGGGAACATCTCAATGAGCAATTTGCGCAGGGTTTCTTTTTTGTAAAGACGGACGACGCGTTCCGAGCCGACGTAGCCCTCGAGGATGGGCATTCCTTCTGATTGGATACGCCATTTACAAACTCCTTCACCTTGGACATCTTGCTTCATGAACATACGCACACCGCCGTGTATGAATTTGATACCCTTGCCTTCATTCTCGGTCATAATGTCGCGGATGAGAGCAGAAGTGTAGTAGATTGTCTTGGCGGGCTCGCCTTGTGCATTGCGCACCATGAAGCGATCCCGTGGGAAACGAGGGGAAAGTTTGTAGAATGACTCGATGGATTGGACTTCATCATGAGTGCCGGATATGTATTTGAAGGGTTCTTCGAATTGTTGGTTGTTGCGGTTTTTGTTGGGGTTGGCGCGGAAAGGAGTTTTGTCATCGCGAAGGTCGCCGGGACGGGTGGTGAGGTCCAGTTCGGCGCCTGGCGGTGGTGGGTAGTGGACTTGTCGGTCTTGGAAACCTGCTGAGGCAGGCTCCTCGAGGTCTTCTTTGGTTTTGAGCTTCTTCGCCCGGGATACGGCATCAAACTGTAAATTCGTGAGTAAGAAATGTTCTACAGGTTTTGAGACATTTTGGGACTGAGCTACCTCTTCCTCATCATCCTCAGCACTGCGCTTTGTGCCACTAACGGTAGCATCTGGTGCCGGATTCTCCTGGTTTTGTCGTGCAACGGGTGTAAGCTCTGTAGTGCTTTCTGAGGGTCCCGTGAGGGCATCGGCTGCTTCAATCTTAGGAGCCACACTTCCTCCATCAACAGGAGCAGGCATTGACTCGATCTCATCAACGATAGCGGTGATGGTAGGCTTTACATCGGAGGTCTTCTTTGGTTCTGATTCGGGCTTGGCTCTAAACTCCGCCTTCTTCTCCAAAATTGCAATAAAAAATCCACCAGTATCTTGCATGTGTCCTATCAACAGATTAGCCGTACTTCAGATCTATGAAGGTCTAAGATGTCCAGAAGCTGGAAAATATTAGAAAATGAATGGCTTACCATATACCCGCATACATCTCTCAAATGGTATTTCCTCCTCCCCAGATTCAACCTTAGGTGCAAACATTCCTGGGGAAAGCTTTTCGGTAGCCATTGTGGAGCCATATTTCTTGTCATATTCTTCGACTTCCTCCATCGTAGACCATGTATCGCCAACCTTGTCCATGATGCTCCATTTCTTCAATCCAGGCGTTCGTTTCAAGAGGGGTAGTTGGTCATCGCTTGGTACCAATTGAACCATTTTAAGTCCACCACATCTCTCAATAGCGGATGCAATAACAGCCTCGTTCTCCACAGGGTTCATACTGCAGGTTGAATAAACCACACGGCCACCAACCTTGAGCATCTGAAGAGCCCTAACCAGGATTCGGACTTGAGTAATGTGCAGCCCAAGAGCATTTCCTGGTTGCCAGTCTTTCCATAAATTGACGTTCTTTCTCATTGTTCCATCTCCTGAACATGGTACATCTGCCAATATCCGGTCGAACTTGAGGTATCGATTAGTAGCGGGGTTCTCCGGGGTAGGTGGTAACTTGATGGAAGGATACATCGTTGCATCGTGGTTGGTGACAATCAGGTTCGGGGATGATAATCGTTTCAGCTGGTGGATCAACATATGACTGCGCTTATAATCCGAGTCGTTCGCAATGAGAAGGCCCGTAGCTCTTCCATAATCACTAGAATCGACTTCCAACTTCTCTGCGTCATCCAATGTAAGTTCTGGTCCAGGACTTATTTCTCGCCCATCTTCTTGAGCATGATCGCGTAGTGATTTATGGACTCGAGCCTCTTCCCCTCGGTGGACCATTTCCAACAATTGTGCCGCCTTGCTTCCTGGAGCTGCGCACATATCCAAGACAGTCATGCCAGGTTGTAGATCCATGACCAAAGGTGGAATCATACTAACAACCTCTTGTCTGCTAATATTTCCCACACTTGTTTCGGACACCAAGAATTTCTGGAAGGCTGCAAAGGGAGGGAATCGACGGACGACATTCTTTGGAGTCGTCATCCACCACGCAAGGTCATCTGGATACCAAGGGACTGGCTTCGGGGGCTCGACGAGGTTGCCATCGTGATGCGAGATGCTAGATATTTCGGGAATGTATCTATCTTGGAAAAGCTTCTGTACAGCGAGCGCATGGCCTTTGGATCCTGTAAATCGGAAGCTATTTGGCAGCTGTGTAGGAAGGGTCAGCTTTACTTCTCGCTGGACAAAAAGCCAACATTGCAACAATGACCTAGGAGCCGTGAGACATTTTCAAAGCAACTATAGGTACTCTGCAAAGACTACAGACTACTGAAACATCTTGGCAGAAAATAATTGGGTTCTTCGATAACTCACCTCACGCTTATATGCATCCCAGAAAGCCTCCCTCTCCTCCTCGGGCAGTCCCAGAACATCGTTATAGTACTTCTCCAGACGGGCGTTATGCTTGGGAACTTTGTCATAGCTGACTCGGTTGTCGTATGGAGCTCGATCCCCTCCTCTACCTCCTCCTCTACCCCCACCGCCCCCGCGTTTGCCTCGAAATCCACCACCCTGGAGATGTTATAAAGCTGCCGAGGACAGGATGAGTTCAATTGAAGTACTTACTCTTTTGCCTCCTCGAGCCATGATTATTGCAATTGATCAGTCGTTTGTGGAAAAGTGGTACTCGTTGCGCTTCAAAACTTCTTGAATATTTGCGATTTTTCAAAGCTCAAGCTTACTTCAAGAGTGGACCAGGATTCTCGGCAGCTAGGATAAACGTATTGCCGACTACACGTGATCGATTTTAATCTCCAGATATTCTTCTTCCTTTATTTCCATCTCAGCTCTATCTATCAATGGAAACCGATACCTATTCCGTGTCTATCTTGCCGTGGAAAGCCTAATCCATTTGCATGATGCCTGCCTAGTGTATCTTGGGGTTTTTGTGGTCTGAACGGACCCCGAATGGGAATCATCTCCTTGTTTACAATCTTTTACGGCCTTCCAGCAGAAGGACTGTCAATTATGAACCATTTTGCTCTTGATTTGGCTTCCCTAGCTGGACACAAAGCGCAGCACTTACTTTACTCACATCTACTTTTCATACCCCACGCTACCTGGCACATTATAAATTGTCTGCCGCTTTTTTTCTACCTATTTTACTATTCAAAGTCTTTATCCATCTTTCCAGCATATTGAGGTATCAAGCGTATCTTGCTTGGGGTTGTTGTTTAAACGGACACTTCACGATGGATCGGACTGAGCATTGTATCTATACTAGCTTTGCATGTGCCACTGGGTTTGAAACATTAAAACCAGTGGTCCACCACCCAAAAGCGCTCCTTCCCTCGTAGGTTGTATATCTTACCAATGTCATTACATCCCCTTTGTCGAACTCATGCTTCTTCGTTCCCATCTTCATCCCCATTTCAATATCCTTTTCCACAACCCGCTTCCTTCGCTTATTCAACCACATACCGTATACCATGTACCAACTTTCCCCCGACAAAAGGAATACCTTGGAAAAGGACAATGACATTCAACACATGGTCTCTCTCGGTTTGCGGTTCAACATCACCACAACCGCAAAGGGAAATATCTTTTATTATGAGCGTGGGCTGTGGGATATAATGAACGGAAAGCCCATTCTTGTTTTGCTTCATGGCTATCCCCAAACAAGCTTTATGCACGTATCTGTCTGCCCGCAATCACTCTACTGTTGCTGACCTTCTATCTGCAGGTGGAGGCATATAGTCACGTGCCTTCCACGAGATATCCCGCTTTTCATCCCAGACGTACCAGGCTACGGTCGGTCATCACCCCTCCGAAGCCGCCCCCACGACAAACGAAGCGTCGGTCAAGCTATCCTCAAAACCCTTCAGTTTCTCCTGCTACGTTCGAATAACCGTCCACGCAAGCATCTTCGCCTGAAGCATGCAGATATAAGGCCTATAATGATCGCTGGCCATGACCAAGGAGCCCGGATTTGTCATCGTCTTGCCGTCGACCAAGCCGACTACCCTGCCTTTTCCTTCAAAGGAGCAATCTTAATGGACATCATCCCGACTGCCATACAGTGGGGGTCCTTTGTGGTGGCAGAAACATCTGTAGCATCGTTCAATTGGCCATTCCTGGCTAACGTGGATGTCGCAACGGAAATGATCATGGCACAAGGTGGCGACGCCTTTGTGAGAATGTGTCTCAACCGCTGGGTTGGAACCCGCAAGCAGGGACTTGCCATGTTCAAGAGCAACGATTCGATCGATATCTATGCAAACTCTTTCAAATCCGAGTCCGTCATTAGAGCTACCTGTGATGAGTTCAGAGCCGGTGCTCAAGAAGATATCCGACTTCAATACGAAGACCAGAGAGCAGGCAGGAAAATGGATATCGATGTCTTTATCTTGTACACCATGAAATGGGTCGACGAAAACATATGGATGGGCAAAGTCTGGCAGGAATGGATGGGAAAGGGTCAACTAATCGGTAGAAACTTTTCGGGTGGCACTGGTCATTTTATCGCTGAAGAGGCCCCGGAGGAGGCAGCATGGGTAATCCTGAGATTTTACAACGATTGCAGCTGAAAGCCACCAAATGCATGCTTTCTGCTCTTGTACTTCAGACATTCGCGTTTGTGTAGTAGGATACTCACTGTAGACCAGCTTAATGTGCCACTAGGCTTGAAAGATGAAAACCAGTGCCGTCTTTTCTTCAGCGTTCTTCGTTTTCGGTCAGCCTTGCAATGAGCAATATCTCACTGTCTCAACGCCACCATTTCCTCGTCTCACGCACTTGACATCATGACATTTAGGATTTCCCATCCATCCAACTTCATTCTATCTATTCTCTGAAAGACGTCACTTTTGCATGCAACGGCCCTGTAGTGTTTTACGTCCCTCTCTTAAAAGAACCCCCAATCATAATTTATAAACCATGTTGTCCAGTTTTGCCTTTTCGATTCTAGCGTCTGCCGCTTGTGTTTTCGTTATTGGTAGAGTTTTGATATCAGTTTACGAAACATCAAATCTTTTTTGAGTCTTTTTTGTTTCTCTGGGTGAAATACTACGATACTCCGCGTCTAGAATCTATCCGCGTCCTGTATCTGTTTCGAAACTATTCAGGTCATATTATCTGCCACGCGTCACGTCTTGCGACGAAGTTCATATATGGTTGAAGGAGCTATGAAACATATGAGTTTAGCTCAGGTATACCTGTCACACTTCTACATTCTACTAGGCTTCCTAACACAGGACACCTTGAACTGTGATTCTCTGTTGGTGGTGGCATGTCAACACATTCCCCATCGGCGCTCCGCTCTCTATTTGGACTCGACCTTGCCCAACCCCTTGGCGCCATCAAGCGACAAAGCAGCACACGCGTCCGACCAAGCGCCATCACTCGCATCAAGCTCACTGTGCAGATACGCGCAAGTAAGCCTCTGAACCAACGCCACCCGCTCTGGGCTTTCCGTATCATGCTGCAACGTCTCCGCACTATCGTACCCCGAAACCCCGCCCAGCAAATGCCCCGCCCCAAACACAGTAAGCATGCACTTCGGGCCCTCGCTCAGCCGATACGGATCCTCGTGCCAGTCGGCACCGCGCGTCGTGAGGTGCGGACTCACATCCGCATCGCCGACCACGACGAGCGTCGGCGTCGCCATCTCGGCGAAACTAGGGTTGCGGAATACGGGCATGTGCTCGTTGGCGAAGACGCTGAGGTCTTTCCCAGCGGCGCCGTTGCCGATGGGCGTGAGCAGGATCCCGGCGCTGATGCGTGGGTCTTTGAGGTTCACGACTCGTCGTCGACGGGATCGGTCAGGCGGGCGCCGAGCAACATGCTGGCTGTGTGGCTGCCGAGCGAGTGGCCAGCAACGGCGATCTTGCTACGGTCCAGACGGCCTTTGATGGCGGGGAACGAGGTCTCGATCGCGTCTAGGCTGTCGATGATGTGCGACATGTCTTCGACGCGAGACCTCCAGAAGAGAGGTGCCTCGGGGTAGGTTGTGGGATCTAGACTCAGGGTCTTTGAGGAGAGGTGCGTGGGCTGGATCACGACGAAGCCGTGCGCGGCCCAGAACTCGGCGAGGGGGCTGTAGCCGTGCAAGGAGGAGAGGTTGTTGGAGGTGCCGTGGCCGTGCGAGAGGAGGATTATCGGGAGGGTAGTGCCGGTTGTGGGGGCGGATACTTTGAGGGTTATGGGGATGGAACCTGGGCGAGAGGGGGCTGCAATGGTGAGGGGGTGGATGGAGAGAATGGGGGATGCGGGGGAGGTGGGGATAGATTTTGCGGCGCCGATTAGGGCGTGGTCCTCCATTTTAAAGGAGGTGTTTGGAATATTGTTATCCTATCCTCCGTTGAACGGAAGAGTAGGTTGAGTTGAATTGGGTTGAGGAAGCGTATTAATGGAAGTTGAGTGAGTAAGTGGCATGTCAAGAAGAGGAATTGTGATGAATTTATAGTAAAAAGCCGCGCCATTCAGTCGGAGTCCAGTGCGCTTCATAAATGCGCCAATATTGAAAATACTAAACTAGAGTAGGTTATACTCGCGATGTATAGAGTCTGTTTAGTTGTTAGATAAAAGCGGGTGTAGCGTGGTTGTGTACACCGGAAGTGCTAAATCCGACCAAGCTAGTCCGTGTTGGGAGAAACCCGCGAAGGGTGACGGAAATAGCGTGAGTCTCGATTTATGTTAATTCCGAGCTCGCCGATGGATGGACTTTGATCTTTGGGGGGGGGGGGGTTCATCAAGTAAATAAATAAAAATGAGGGTAGAGTGATTCCTACTTGGGACTGGGTTATATTGACGTGAGAAACGACCCTTGGTTCTAGACTGTTGACAGGGCTGGTAAATTCTCCAAAGTTGAACCATCAAAGCTTAAAGTAGAAAAGCAAGAAGATGATTGGTTTTATAAGCAGGAAAATAACGAATGCCTTGCCATTATAATCGCCACCCAACAATGCAAATATAGAACACCTCCGCTCCCATGCGACCCCATTTCAAACTCACCCCTTATAATCCACGCCTGCTTCATGCTCCATTACATCAAAAGTAGGCTTTGCACTAAACCAACCCGCCTTCTCGGTGCCCAAAGCCTTATATGTATAAGCCGCATCTGCTTCATCAATTTTGACCGTCGTTGCCCCTACCCCGCCCGCCGCAGCATCAGCCAGCAGCTGCGCATGACAGCATTTTTCCAAACTCATAAACCAGAACACAGCAGCCTCAATACTCTTCCCACACGTCAGAAGTCCATGATTCTGCAACAGCGCCGCTTTCTTCTGTCCCAGCGCTGCAGCAATAGCCAACCCCTCATCTGCAGCTAGCACGATACCGCGGAACGAACTGTAGAGAGCGATGTCGTTGTGAAAGGCGCATGAGTCTTGCGTGATGGTATCGAGGTTCTTGCCGAGCGTGCAGAAGGAACGTCCGTAGATGGAGTGCGAGTGCGCGACGCAGTTTACGTCTGGACGTGCAGTGTGCACGGCGTGGTGGATCATGTATGCGGCTGTGTTGAGCAAGCGTACGGGACCGCCGTCAATGACTTTCCCGTCGGCGTTGACGAGGATTAGGGAGGAGGCTTTGAGGAGGGGCCAGGCTACGCCGAAGGGATTGACCCAGAAGGAACTTGGGTCTACGGGGTCCTGTGTCGTTAAACAACACATATTAGCTTCTTACTTCTTGTCACGAGAGGGGCAATGGTGCAAGACATACTCGCAACGTAATGTGTCCCGCAACACCCTCATCGAATCCCAGCTTGGCAAAAATCCTAAAGGCTAATGCTAACCGTCCCTTTTGATATGCACGCTCCTCATACTTATCCGTGAATGTTGGAGCGGTTTGGATGTTCAATCCTACCGTCTCGCCCTGCTTCTCTGTGAGTCCTGGCTCCAGGGGAACAGTGGCGGCTTTTTCGTGCCCATTTGTAGGCACTGATGTGCCGGTGTCAACGACTTCGTAGGTAGCGGATGGGGGAGCCATGTATGCTTTCTTTGCGTGAGAATAGCGCTAGTGGAGAGGTTTGGCGGGGAGAGAAAGGATACTGAGTTGGAAGAAAATGTCAAGAGAAAGAGTGAATTAGAAGGACAAGATGGTCATCTACGAGCGAGTATCCACACCCCGCCCACAAGCTACCCCACCCTACTCCGCTCGTCGCAGGATGGTGTTGTCAGCACTCAAGACGTGGGGTAGGAGGGCCGAGGATGTAAATCCTGTAGGTACCTAGGTATTGAGTGGACGGCCAATCACCTGATGAGAATTTGCAAGCATCACGAGTGGTATCCAATTTTCACGTAGCCATGATTTTTGAGGTTCGATGTTATGAGAACAAAGCCGGCTGGTTGAAAATGTATAGATGCTATGATACAGAAGCTGCAACGAAGGTTGCGAGACTTGGTGATGGTCTTGCGTAATGTTGCTTAGTCATGTCTTACTATCCCACTGCTTTACTTCAACCTCACCTCACCTCTCTTCACTTAAACCAGATTCAATAGCAATGGTAGCACGATTTCCTGGAAAAATATCTTCTACCCAAGTCATGACAGAGTATCTTGAGATCACAGGACGTGTTAGTCAGAAAATTCATTTTGAAGTTTGCAAAAAACACTTTGACGCAGGGTCAAGCTCGTCGAGAAAGTAAGATCAAGTGAGAGAAGGGAAAGGAAGCGAAGTTTTTGTCCTTTTGTTGCTTCCTACAGCTACTTTAACTACATTTGGATGATGGAGAGGAAATCCCAATTGATGGAGGGGTTCTCTTGTCCTTATTCACCTTAATCCTTCTTAATGGTTGTTGGAGGTGATGTCTTTGCCAACCTCTTGCGCTTGCTTGCTTGTCCCTTATTCCTTTCTCCAACTCTTTCGATTCAGGGATATATCATGTGCCATGAATGGGATGTTACTCACATGACAAAAGACTGTTCATGCAGGGAGAAGTAAGGAGGAAATCGGGATTGGCGTGTACATAGGGTTCTGTTCTTGGTGCTGCTCTTCAAGTATGTGAATTATGGATAGCGTCAGATGACTTTGTTACCGCAAACCTTCATTCGTATTGCTTTTGTTTCAATTTATGCCCTTGCACTGTTTAGAGATGCGTTACTGTTATCAAGATGTTCATATCGCCAATCGTCATAGTTGTGTGACCGATATTACGACATGGTTGACTGTTTGCTTGCGGTGGACAATCATATCTTATTCGCTACTTGTGGGCCAAAAGCCTGTCTGTGTGGTACGAGGCGTGGACTTCCAAGCTATGACTGATTTGGAGGGATGACCCCTCCGATGAATCAGGGAAGTCGCCTGATTATTTGTGGCTTAGCTTCAAAGATTGCCGGTTATGCGAACACTTATTCCCCAGGTATCAAAGCCAGCAAGTCCACTTGTCCATTCCTTTGTTGTATACGATGCCAGTCTTGTAGTAGAACTCCTAAGCTTTGCGGATTGAAGGCTATGATAACAAAGCAAATGATTTAAAGTAATCAATCATTTATTTACTGCGAATTTTGGGGAATTTCACAGAGAAGGGATAAGGGCAGTGTGGGTGTGGGTGCGGTGGATTCTACCTATTCACATATACCTGATCCGTCCTTCCCCCCGCTCCACCTCCATCCATTCACCTGCTCATTGTCCTGACTTACGCCATCTTACCCTGCCATGCATGACGCCTTACCCAGTTCGGCTGGCCGAAGGTGATCGAACTGTCTGGTATGTCCCCCTCCGCGCCCGCTTAGCCCCAACTACCCGTTACACAAGGCAGGTCAGGTAAACAAACGTTTCGCTTCCCACCCATGACCCATCAAGAAATTCGCACATTGGATTATTGAATACTTACACCTTGGTGTTCTTGCTCTTGCTCTTCTTCTTCTTCTACCTGCCTCTACACCACCTACTTATACCTTCTATTGCATTGATTGCATGGTACACATACAGATAACTCTTCCTGCGCCCACATATTTCAAGCACATTTCTCTCTCCCGCTCTGTCAGACCGCTGACGGGTGGGGTGCGGACGCCGCAGCGATGGGCAAAAAAAGTAGAGTAAAGAAGGCTGCTCAAGCTGAAGCAGAGCTTAGGAGAAAGAGTGTCGCCCAAGTTGTGACTGACAAACAGAAGCTGGCAGATGCTGAGGAGTTAGAAAAGGCTTAGGAGTTAAAGAAGGCTCAGGAGTTGGAGAAAAAGCTCGCTGCCCAAGCTGTGCTTGACGAGAAGATTGATGCACTGGGTCAGGAGTTGGAGAGAGAGCTCGATACCCAAGCTGCAATTGACCAGCAGAAGCTGGCAGATGCCGAGAAGGAGCAAGCAAAGATCAATGCGCGACCAAAGAAGACTCCTAAGAAGCCAAAGCCAACAATTCGCCCAGTCTTGCCCCCTGGTAACGACCATTTATTTCCTGGGTTCAAGAAGCAGAATCCGGTGCCACCGAATCTATTCGGTCGGACTGTGAAGCAACCAGATCGTCCAGAACGCTCCATCGATCTTTCGTTTGGTGGCAACCAGGATGATGAGGATGATGAGGATGTTAATACTTCGTCATCGAGTGTTCCACCAGTTCCTAAATTTCAATTCTTGACCGCCACCCCGCAGAACCCCTCAGTCTCCTCTAGTATTCCGCAAAAAGCTAAGCCATTATTTGGTGGGAAGCACAACCCCAAGACCAACCAGGGGTCTTTCGCATACACAGCACCCAATCCTCCTCTTGGTGCTCAGTCCTCACCTCTTCGCAATGTCGAGTATGATCCAATCTTGACACAAAATGTCAACATCAACGAAGGTCCTTCAGTCCCTTCTGTGGTCATTACGCCATCTGAGGCTATTACGCCTACATTGGACTCCGGTCAACCATTCGCCTGCGGCCAAGATGCCAACCCCTTGCAGCCACAAACTCAACCACCACATCCCACAACTCTCCAGCAACCTTCTGTTCCACAAGCAAGCGAGGTCAATGACCAAAGCATTAGTATGAGCGATAGTGAGGACGAAGATATGACAGTGCCATCCGAAGAATTGAACCCAGAGTTTCACCAGAAACAGGCCAAGCAGTATGAGGGCGTCAATATCGATCTCAGTACTTCCGAAGGCACTCTAGCCCAGGACAGTGAGCATGAAATGGGTGATGTGCCTGTGGATACCTTGTCAGAAGTCACTCCAATTCCACCAACCATGAATGCGTCTGCCGTTGGAGGAACCAATGCCACCACTTCGGTTATTATACCGCCATATGTCGGCAATGCGGTGGAGGCTTTTGGCGGCAACACCTATCCAAGTGTCCCATCGACTGCGAATAATGCAGTGTTGCCCACTGGACCCAGCACTTCTCCTCTTCCACAGTCAGATAGCTTTGAGGTACCTAATATTCCTGTTGTTCCCCCACCGCCTCAACCCACCACTCATCATGAGACGGAGTCCAATGTGGAAGCCGGCGCTTCGGATGATGTGGAGATTGACACCGCTCCTATTACGAGCTCTGATGAGCAAATGTGGGGTGATTCTAATCTCAACACTGGCATCTGTGAGAGCAATAATGGTTTGGACTCTGTCAATCATGAGCAGGATAATGATCTGAACGCATCCAACTCTAACGGCGATAATGGTTCAGACTCTGTCAACCATGAGCCGGATAATGGTTTGAACGCATCCAACTCTAACGGCGATAATGGTTCGAACTCATACAACCATGACGTTGTTGATTACACCTCTTCCCCATATAATGACGGGATGGGTATGAACATTGCCAACTATGATGATACAGACTCTTCCCAATATGATGCTGGGATGGGTAGGAACATTGCCAACCATGACGATGCAGAAATGCAGCCTACGCCAAATTATGACTTGCCCTCTGAGCAGGACTTCCGCTCTGAGCAACTGCCTGAGCTGGCCCCCAACTCTGTGCATCTGGATGGAAATCCATCCGACTTCGATCAATCATCTGGGCAGTTCGACAATATGAAATACTTCGAGGAAGTCAACACGCAGGCTCAGAAGCTTACTTCCGAACAAGCCTCTGACTTGAGGTTGGACTCCGAGGACTTGCCCGAGCAGCTTACTGATGAGGAATTTTCTGCGCTGGTTTGGGACTATGGGCCTGTCTCTGAGCCTGAGCACATCTCCGAGCTTGAGCTTACCTCTCTCCGAAAGGAACTGGATTCTTCGAAGGACCAGTTAGTCGAAGCTCAAGAGTCATCAGTAAAAGACAAGGCAGAAATCAAGTCTTTGAATAGCAAGCTTCGTGACTCAGCCCAGAAGGAGATGAGTGCGGCGAAGGATTACAAGGAGCTACACGACAAATTTGAGAATTCAGAAGCTGGAAAAGTTGCAAGAGAAGTCAAGCAATTGAGAGCAAAGAATGATGCGTTCAAGGCAGCTTTGGCCGAGAATACCAAGGAGCTTTGCCAGACTAAAGCACAAGTTTTGAAATATTGGAAACTCCTCAAGAAAAAGAAGTCTGATGCTGTCGTCGCACAAGATCTCAAGAAATACCAGATTGACGCGACACCACCTCAAAAATACACGATTGCCCAAAAGTTAGAGGACCACCGCCTTTCCAAACAGTCCTGTCCAAGCAATTTGCAAAATCAAGACAGCCTGGATCGCAGACTGGAGCGCGAACGCGTCAAATGTGGGATGGAGCCAGGCAATGCTGACGACAAAGGTCCTTCTTTCGGCCATGCCAACACGGGTATTCAAGAACCTTCGTCCTCCAATGTGCAAGTCGGAAGCAACCATCCTCGGAGCAACTCCCTTGGCGCCGTTCCTTGTGCTGAAGATGGCGATATGACCAACGACAACGGCCCTCTTTCATCTGGTGCTCTCAAGGCAGGTATTTCACTAACTTCGTTCTCTACTGTTCAAGTTGGAAACAACCGTCCTCGAAGCTCTTCACTTGGTGCCGTTTGTCGTTCAGCAAAGATCATTAAGTCTTACAACAAGGTAGCCGCAGATGGCTCCGCTGAATCTCACACTGCTTCTCCTGTTTCGCCACTTCCAACTGTTGAGTCGTTGAGACCTCGATCGGAATTATTGCAGATGGCTTTGCCGAGCCTCCTACTGCGTTTCCTATTCCGCCACTTCCGACTGTCGAGTCATCTGAGACCACAGTCCCTTCCTCGGAGCCAGAACACAAGCTCCCCGACACCGACCCAACAAACACCTCAGAGCCAGAACACAAGCTCCCCGACACTGACCCAACAAACAACGCTCCTACTCGTAAGAATAACCCCTTATACCTATTGTAGCGTCTGCTAATGTTTGATTCGAACCTGCAGTTGATCGAGCAAAGTCAGATGGTCGTTGTCGCAACATCTTCTTCCTCCTTTTCAGCTTCATTCTTGGAGCAGCTGCCTTTTCTGCCTTTGGCCATCGTACCTCCCAGCCTTTGATCTCATCCAATGGTACTACCAACAACAACGCTTCCTCTTCTCCCGAAGACCTCTGGCATCGTCCGAACCCGGCGATCGCCCTTGAATCCCTTGTCTGCACTCTTTTACCTGTTTTGGCCAAACCCCCATTTCCGTGTGACAATGTCGAGCCCTCTGACTACAAGATGTACTCCAGTGCTCAGCATATTGGCATCTACAAAGCCTTGAAATTGCAAGCCGCCACACAGCGACCTCCGAAGCTAATTCCGAAGCCAACTTTCAATTACCACGCTGAATCTATGTTGAAGGTCACTGACCACCCTTGTACTCATGTCCAATACATCCCCGAAGATCCCAGCGCTTCCTTCTTCACACAGTCCCGCGAATACATCTACCATCAGTACTGCCGCACCAAAATCACCCAGAACCCCAACTCCTTCGCTGGCGAAGTGATCATGGGCCCTTGGGAAAATGTGGGCGTAGGTGCTAGGGGCAGAAGTGTAGAAGTCAAAGCTCCTCCTGGTACGCAGCGACTTGATCGGATGTACGCCCCGCGGTTCGACATTCGTCGGCCTGACAAGGATGATTGATCGATCGCCCACAACGCATAGACTCTACCATGACCAATGCATGGTGGCTTACCGAATACTTTGAGCTGTTGAAGAGATATCATCAGAATACTTGCAGTCTCATTCCTTGTACCATCACATCACCACCTCCAAGAAGAAGAAATGGTCAAAAAGCACAAAAAAACACGAAAAAAGAAAAACAAAAAAGCCGAAACACAAGAGCGGAGGATGAAAGTGTTTCATGTCATGATTACGGTGGAGGACTTGGAATCACTTAGGATCAAATGGGGACGCCGTCTTCGATGCCTTCTGTGCTTGCCAACTGTACGGCGTACGGCGCACTTGGCGCATTTCTTGTTTTTTCAAAAAGACTACAGTCCAGCTGCGGCTCATTCTTCATGTTACTTTTCCTTGCCTTTCCTTTTTATTGTCTTGCTATATCTCTTCCAAAGATCGAGATAGGCATTCCATGTATTTCACAGCCTTACTCTCCATCACCCAAACCATCCCGCATCACTCAGTGGCGGGCTCAGTGCAGCGCACGCATCTCTCCGGAGATGCCAGCTGTGCTGTGTCTGTTCACTGCGATGTAGGATTGGGGTGGGCTCAGTGCAGCGAACGCGTCTCTCCGGAGATGCTCTGCTGTGCTGTGTCTGTTCACTGCGATGTGCGATTGGGGCGGGTTGATGGGCTTTGGCTTTTTGTTTGGGGAGATCGATTCGTGGTTTGAGTACATAGAATAGTTACATTGACTTCATAAAATGAAAGACATCATAAATAAACCTCATCTTGTGTTGCTTCTGCGTGATAGTAATTTCGATTGTGATTAATCCCCAGTCCAACTGCGTCTAATAAACGACTAAAATTCATGTGTTAGACGTAATGTAGGTATTACATGATGGGTTCGTCTGCGGAATCGGGTCTTTAACATTTTATTACAAGATGAATGAGCATGTGTGATATATATATGGCACTCTCTATATCATAGGTACGTATATAACCGGTGGATTTAGGCTAAACAGGCGCTTCCTGCATACATATAGCCCGAGAAGGGACACAACTAGGTATTCGTAATCAATTAAAACATTACTAACAGGACTTCTCATTCGCCGTTGATATTCTTTTCTATGCATGCATACCCGAACATATGTACCGCATCAATCAATGCCCAACGCATGCTTTTGAGCCGCACAGCCTTTCTCCGTACCTACACCAGAGAGGTTGATTAATACAGCCTCATTTTTCACGATAGGCACCAGTACGCTTTACTCTTGTCTGCGAAACGTAGGTTGGTATATAGTAGCTACCTGATCTACTCTAAGACTACCATAACCTCGACGTCGTTAAAGCAAACAGCCGCAAATCACTAATATAATATAATATATTACAATACAATACAATATGGCTGATGCAAGACACCGTGATGCAAGACACCGGGGAAGCCACGCCTACGATGACGAAATCCAGCAGCGTCACAGAGCTAGCCACCCGCCCCTGATAGAAGAATCCCCCGCGCCTGCACCTCCATCACCCGCCGCCGCCGCCAACGACAACGACAACGATAACGGGGACTTGCCCGCTCTTACGCTCTCGGAGCGTCTGCGCTCGGAACACCGCGGCCAGCTTATGTATTGCGTGGAGAGTCGGACGGTGGCCAACAAGGACGTGTGGGTATTAAACGTGGCGGAAATGCAACGGCTGAACCTGCAGGTAATGCGTAACAGGCTTGCGAAACTGGCTGTTGTGGATCTAAGGGTGGAGGTGGGTGATGCGTGGAGTGAGAGGAATGCGAGGGAGTTGGAAAGGGTGATGCATGCGTACTGTATGTATATTGCTTGTAACTTATATACCTATCTACCTTGAGCGTTTCATTCTCCGCCAGTACAACACCGCTTCAGCACGGAGTGTATAACTTACTCCCTACCTACCTACTTATCCATCACGCAGCTCTCTCTACCCCATGCTAAGCAATAACTCCCCGCACAGGCGACGCGCTCCGCGACTGGGACTACATGAATAGCCAGCGGTCCGCGCACGAATTCATCAACGACCCGTTCAAGCTGTGCAGCTCACAGGCCCGCGACCACAGCCTGATGGAAGAGAGCGGGCTCATGGACAAGATGCCGTCGCGCTGGCGCGCGCTGCTGCCCAGACGACAGGTAGTACCCGACGATGCGGAGGCGCCGCAGCTCCCGGGACATGCGCGCGGGCACTGGAAGAAGACGCGGGACCTGCGCGCCGTGACGGAACGCTTGATGTATGGGATCCTGGGCGGGCTGGCGCTGGTTGTGCCGATGTTGGTCATGGTGTTGCATAATACTGTTCTGACGGCCCTGCTTACCGTGTCCGTGGCCACGATCCTGTTTGCGGCGTTGTGTGCGTTTTATGCGGAGGTTGGACCGATGCAGCTTGTCGGGGCGACTGCTGCGTATGCTGCTGTGCTGGTTGTGTTTGTGGGGACTACGAATTCTTTGTCTTAGGTTAACTAATAAACGGGGAGGGAGGGTGGTAGGCTGGTGTGCTATGATAAGGAAAAGGGTTTATGTTTGAATGTAAATCTGCTCTGATTTCGGATAAGGCTGTAACTGATATGGGATGGATTGATTGATCGATCGATCGTCCGTATTTTTACCCTTCTCGAATTCTTCGAAATAAGCCGGAGTCAAGTTCTGTAATATGCGACTGGGATTGCCGATCCCCTTGTGGCGTTGCCTCTTAATTCAATGAAGAATCCTGGAGTTGTTGTCCTCTATAATTGGTATCTCCGGTTCTTCAAGTCCAAACGTGAATGTTCTGCCGGCATGCTGATTGTTGTCGAATCGAAATAAGGCTTCATCTGGGACTTTGCAGAATGGAATCCTAGCAGACGTAGATGATAGTGTGGAGCTAATCATGTGTCAGCTTTTCGCATTTCAAACGCAGAAATACATGCAAGTATTGGTAGGTTTGAGCTGACGGGATTTGGGAGAAGTTACTTGGGGGAAAGAGAAGCATGGATTCCAATGAAGATTTGTGTGGGCTGCTGATTCTTCACATTGTTCGGAGAAGAGAGAAGCGGAGAGGCAGGGTCTGTCCCAAGGCTGCTGGTGGCGCTCTTGCTGCGATTTGTCTGGCTGCGATCATCCTCCAAATATAGCGGAGAAGCGTTTTTATCACAAATTTGAGATGCTAGAGTTGACTTTATATCAAGCACCGAGAGATCGGCATTCTCATCCGTCTGTAGGGAGAACATGCTGGTGGTTTCTGGATGTAATAGGTTAGACGGGGTAGATTGTCGTGGCCGACGTTCTGACGAAACAGCAAGCTCACGTGTTAATCTTGTATAGTGCAGAACTGCGGAGCATGATTGAGTTTGTTTAACAGGTAGCAAGAATGCAATCAAGAACATGGATGTCTATTTTGTACTTGTAAGATATCTCATACATGGCCTGCCTACGTCACGTGATCATATCCCCGTCTCTGCGACGCAGATATAAGTCACTTATACGGAGAGCTTTTTGACAATTAGACAGTGAATATTTCATCATTGAGTAGTCAATGCATCATAGACAGAGATATCTCACGGTTTTATAAACGTGCTCGCCTTCAAGTTTAGCACGTGATAATACCCCCCTTTTCATCCCGTGAAATATTGGTGTCTTGCGAACGGCTCCTTGCATCATCAAAAGAGCGTCCCACTCGGGTTGGATTGCAAGTATATGATATTTATGTCCCGACCGATAGCTTTAAACCAAATATTCACAAATTGTTTGAGGTTGTGCTCTTTTGGAGTCGCGTCAAATGTCCTTTGGGGGTTCCTTTATGTAGAGTACAGCACCGCAGAGTGGATCACTCTGTCTAATTCATATAAATTTGGTTATATCCTCAAATGGTTAGTTGTGCTCCTATTCACCTAACTATTGTCCCACTCAACCTGATTACGTATGCAGCGTGGGCAGGTAGGCGTTGAGGGCATCTATCCATCCATATTCATTGTTTTACCCGCCATCTGCTTAACAACTTCTTCTTCCCCAAATCTTGGAGATTCCTGTTTCCTTCCACATCGTGTTTTGCAGATCTTCCGCATCGTGAAACAGCATCAAAACAGAACTTGTTAAGAGGATTACTTCCCACGTCTTACATTACTCGAGCTTTGAAAGGATTTCCAAGAGCATCAAGTTCTACCACAAAAATCAACATCTACTGATCCGGTGCCTCACAAGACCATGGATTCATCCGCAGAAATGGCTTCCACAGACGTCACTTCGAAGAGAGAGCGGGAAGAGTCTATTGTCGATCTATCCGAACAAGACCCAAACATCCATATCTCCGGTACTGGATGTTCCATCCCAATGCCCTCAATCAACTCGAGCGCCTACCTTCCACCCACGAAACGAGCCAGAACTGGTCCGGCTGCTCAATCCTCCATTCTCGGCACCACTTCTACCTCAGTCACCCCACATCCCAATACTAATGGCCCCGATAACGAAGCATCGACATCCGAAAATTCCACCACAAAGAGCCTAGCAACTCGGGATACCGCGTTGGATTCACCATCCTCTCCCTCCAATATCCCGGAAAAACTCAAGGCACCCGCCTCTCAGGCCAATCAGTCATGCAAAAACTGCAAATACTTCCAGGAAGACATCAGAAAATGGAAAGACAGTGTCGTAAAAGCCCAAAAGAAGACACGCGAAGTAAATGACGCGAATTCTGCCCTCACGACCGAGTTCGATGCGTTCAAAGCCAAGTACCAGCAAGCAATCAGCGACATGGAAGTCAAAGCCATTCGAAATGGTCAATGCGAGGTGGACAATATCGAGATGTCTGGTGTTGAGGCAGCAAATCTCGAAGATCTCCGAAACCAGCTGCAGGATTTGCAGAGCAAAATGCAGGCGGAGCAGAATGCACATGCTGAAACTCGAACCGCGAAAGGAAAAATGATTGTTGCTCACGAAAAGCAACTTCAATTGCAGAAAGACACGCGTCTGTTGACAGAAGAGCAGCTGAGGAATGCCAACCAAATCAAGAAGAAGGAAGTTGATGTTGAAAAAGCCAAGTATACCAAGATGGAGAAAGAATTTCACGCGAAGATTGCGCGGTTTGTGAACGATCTTAACAACGGCAACAAAGCTTATGCGCAGGCTTTGGAGCATATCAACCTCGTAATGCCCAAGGCACATGCCGACCAGATGCTCGAGGTGGAACACTACTATCTAGGACAGATTGGGGTCTTGGAGAAAGAAATCCAAGGATTGAGATTCACAAATGACACCTTAAAGACTGAGGGATACAAGCAATGTCAGGACCGTGAGCATGAATCTCAACTCCGTCTTGAGTCTGAGAAAAAGTCAGCACTTGAGCGTGAAGAGTTGATGAGTGCAAATGCCAAGCTGGCAGAGGCACACAAGGGTTGTGATGAGAAGCTCGCAAAGCTCACCCAAGATACCGAACTCGCACACACCAAGGTCCAGCGGATCACTGAGGATTCTGAGACCGCAGCGGTCAAAACAGCTGATTACATCAAGAAGCTCAGTGCTGATCTTGTTGACGTCCAGAATAAGAACGCGTATTCTGAGGCTGCAGCTGTCAAGGCAGCTGATGAAATAAAAAAGCTCAAGGCAGATCTTGTCGAGGCCAACGAATCAAAAGCTACCAATGGTGAAGCATCGGCAGAGCTCGCTGCATCAAAGGAGCAGCTTCAGCATTCTATCTCTGCCGCAGGCTACGAGGTTGGCTTGGAACTCTCTGGAGATATCGCTGAGAGTTATGTACTGGAGTCTGTTCGATGCATCAAGTCTCTCCGTAAGGATAAGACTGTTTTGAAGCAAGAACTCAAGAACCTCAAGCAGGCCAACGATGATACTTTGCAGAAGGAGCGATCAGAACATCAAAAGGCTGTTCAGGCAAAGCAGAACCAGATTGATTCTTCCAAGGACATCCAGCAATTGAGGAGTGCCCAGGCTCAGCTTCAAGCTCGTGAAGAGGATCTCCAAATTCGAGAAGAAGCTCTTGCATGGGACGTTTCTAACTTACGACTCGGAGAGATGAAGCTTGAAGATGAAGTGCGTCTCTACATGGCCTATTACGAGTCTCACGAGCAGGAGAAGAAAATACTCAAGTCCCGAAACAATGACTTGAAGACTAAACTGGCATCTGCGAAAGAAGCTCGCACATCTGGTAGACACCGAGAGATTCCTATCCCGGTATATTCTAGTAACTACCGTGACCGTGCTTCGCGTGGTACCAAGGGGTGCGGGGGTTTTGCAGAACGACCAGCCACCAATTCGAGCTCAACTCAAACTGATCCAGACCCTCAGTCCTCAACCTCCAATGCCACCGGTTCGACTACGTGCAACCCGACCACCACCTCTTCTACGCCTGCCGAGTCTATGCCCGCTTCGAATACTCCACACAATCCTGCTTCTCCATCTGCCTCTAAGAAGGATCAGGAAGATTCTTCAAAAGAGATTTGGCATGATGCTGTACACTACCAATTGGAGGAATATGATGCTGAGGATTGTTATGATGACGATGAAAACATGTCTCCATTTATCAAGTACCTGACACCACTATTCCTTTTCTTTGGGCTCCTCTTTTTCGGTATTTCAAACTACTTGTCCGGCCAACAAGATTACCTGTACGACCCGGCTTTTGCGTGTTGGCTCAGCAAGGTGGTCTTCTACGGCCTGAACCCGTTTGCGGATTTGGGGATGGATGGGTTTTTGAACCCGACCTCTGTGTTTATTACTGGTAAGTAAATCCCCATCGTCTTTGGCTTGAGAAATATTTGGGAGGAATTCAAACTGACTTGTTGCTAGTTGCCTTTCTTGCTGGCTCGTTCAGCAAGATCATACATGCCTGATGTTCTGCTTCCATCTTTTCGACATTGTCTCATTGGTTTTGATACATTTTGGTCTCATGTACGATTGCTTACGACGATTACGACGAATATACCCAAACATACATATCATATGGCACTACTACGCAACCACCGCTCTTCACCCAATAACCAAAAGCATCTCCACCCCCTTCGACATTCTTCCACCATCCATTCCCCAGGACATGGGACCTCAACATCCAACCAGGCATGTAAGCTGATTTCTGACTTCACCATGTCGGAAACCCCTCTACTTTGAGCGGGGATTAGTTTCCTTGGTTGCATAGGGTCTTTGTCCTTCGAATCACAAGTGGCGAGTTTGCTGCAAAATAAGGAGGAAGACATGCATCATCTAGCGTGTGGGACAAGGGACTGCGACTTCTTTCAACGAGGCATGTAAGTTGACCTCTGACTGTGCTGTGTCAGAAACCCCTCTACTTTAAGCGGGGATCACTTCCTTCGTTGCATAAATATCCTTTTGTTCCCTGGCGCTGGTGGTGATGTCTGGTGCTGAGTGAGTGATGGAGCTGTGGACAACGGATAAAACCCCAAAACAATGAAGAAAAAGGGTAAAAGATTGGAGGGGCTAGGAGATACTTTTGAATGATATATGGGGCGACG